TTCTTATCACAGACCTTTCTGGTCTCTATCAAGATCTATGACTGAGTGTGTTAAATAATGAGATTGAAATGAATCCCTCAGTGATTATGGGGAATGTCAAATGGTTTCACAGCCTTCTAGTCTTAGCTTGTCTGAGCTACCTCCAAGATATCTCTAAGATATACACTTGCTCTGATCACCCTGGACATTTTGCTCCTGAAACTGTAAGCATGCCTAATTGCATGGCCTTTGCACTGGTTGTCTGTTCAACTTGATGAACTCTCAGGGGCAAAATCTGGGGTGATGATTAGTTTCAACTGTTAACTTGTTGCAAGTTAGAATTTCTTGGGAAAGAAAGTCTCAGTTGATTGTCTTTATCAGGATGTCCTTTGGGCATGTTTGTGGCGGCTGTTTTTGACTATTCACAGATGTAGCAAGACCCAGCCCATTGTGGGCAGGACTATTACTTGATCAGGGGGTCCTGACCTACCCAGGACTGAAGCAATCTGGATGAGAGCAAGAGTGCATCATGTATCACTTGTATCCTTCTTGCCTTTGACAATGAAGTATCTGACTGGACACTTGAGTTCTTGTCTATGAAGGACTGTAGTTCAGAACCACAAACAGAATAGACCCTTTCTATCCCTAGGTTGATTTTGGTTGGTTGTTTTTTTATCACAGCAACAGAAATGAAACACTTGGTTCATCCCTTGACTAGATTTAAGTGTCTTCTCAGTACCACCCTTGTCTAGAAAGTGTCTCTAATCATGGAAGCTAAAAATGCATGTCACCTTAAAGTCCTTTTCGTCTGCTGCTTTTTGATTAATTAGAGATTTTGCAACTCTGTCTTTTAAATTTATTTTTATTGCATTTTAATTTTTATTTGGTGTGCATGTGTGTATATGTATGGGTATGCATGTGCCATGGCAGGTATGTAGAGCTCAGAGGGGATCTTTGGGAAGTTGGTTCACTCCTACTATATAGGCCCTGGGAATCAAATTCAAATTATTAGGTTTGATGGCAAGCACCTTGATTCACTGAGCTATCTTGTTGGCTCCAGTCCAACTTTATATCCAGGTATATCCTATGCTTTTTTATCTTTATGATTTGGGGTATGCTCTCCATTAGAATGGAAATTTGTCTGTGGATGGCTCATCCTGAATGTAATGCTGTGGCCTCAGGAGTTAGATACCTTCCCAGGATGTGGCAACAGCTCCATAAACACTAAGACTTGAAAGAATTCCAGTCATTAAGCAACTTGATTTTCAGCCTCCATTCTCACATAAGACCTATCTTATTCTGCTATAGTCACTAGTCTAATCTGGAAATGTTCTTGTGAATCACAAAGGCAGGAGGTTTTCTCAGAAGAACAAACCACCCCCTCCACCCTTTATGTCTTCTGCAGACTCCAAACATGGAAGGATCTTGATGTTATATGTTAAGAGATGGTTCAACTGGCTTCCCCCAGAGATCAGACCAGTGAATGATCAGACCACAGAACTTTTCTCTAATGACTGATGGAAGCAGATGCAGAGATCCACAGCCAATCACTAGACAGCTCCAGAAGTCCAGTCAAAGAGAGAGAAGAGGGATTCTATGAGTAAGTGCATCAGGACCATGATGGGGAAACATGCAGAGACAACCAAACCAATCTAGAGGGAACTCATGAAAGTTGCATCAATGGCTGTGGAGCCTACATGGGACTGGACTAGGCCCTTTGCATGGTGAGACAGTTGTGTAGCTTGATCTCCTTGGGAGGCTCCCTGGCGGTTGGATCAGAATCCATCTCTGGTGCATGAGCGGGCTTTGTGGAGCCCACTACCTATGATGGGACACCTCGTGCAGCCTTGAGGCAGAGGGAAGGGCTTGGACTTGCCTCTACTGAATGTGCCTCCACATGGGAGGCCTTGTTTTCTTGTGGGAGGGAATGGGGGAGGTGGGTTGGGAGGGGAGGTTGGGGGTGTGGGAGGAGAGAAGAGGGGGATCTTTGATTGGTGTGTAAAATGAATAAAAGAATTTTAATAAAAAAAGAAAAAAGAAAAATAAAGAGATGGTTCAAGTGTGGTAGGCAGATGCAACAGTTATCCCTATACCCTATTGTTAAAGGGACAGTCTCTAGTTGTCCCCTTCAAGATCAGCCCCATCCAGAGGAAAACTGGCCAACTCAAATACTGCAAGTTTGGAATCACTGAGTAAGAAAATTGTTGTTCCCACAGTCTCACAGACAACAAATGAGAATGGGTAACTACTCCATGCAGCTAGCAAAAGCAGAATCAACATGAGGGCATTCTCTGCAAAATATGCTGTTTGTCTTGGGAAGCTCAAGCAACAGATCATGACCTGCTTCTGCTGATGTTGATCATCTCACCATCACTAAGCCACAAACTGCCTCCTCATAGCTCCCACCATTTGCAGCCTTTTCCAAAAACCCATCCCTTTAAGAACTTCTATAAATTTCAGCAAGCCTTACAAAGAAAGATTTTAAGAATCCTGATTGTTTTTTAAATTCAATGTAGGTGACCAAGCCCAGAGGTTTATTTCTACTAGGCATGTTTCTGCCACTAAATTCATCCTCAGCCCAGATCACTGATAGTTTTCTCCTCTAAAAAACCTTGCACAGCCTTGAGTCAGGGGGAGGGGCTTGGACCTGCCTTTACTGAATGTACCAGGCTCTGCTGATTCCCCAAGGGAGGCCTTACCTTCTTGTAGGAGGGAATGGGGGATGGGTTGGGGAGGGAGGCTGGAGGGGCGGGAGGAGAGGGATCTGTGATTGGTATGTAAAATGAATAAAAAATTTTCTTAATAAAAAAAGATTAAAAAAAGAAAAAGGAATGTGTCTGTTATTGAACCCTGGTTATTGATCGAGACCAGGATACAACAGGCTTGCTCTCTGTGGTGCCAGTTTGGTAAGCAAGTGGGGGTCCTGACAGGTGGGCTGTGTAGGATGTACTATATGTGCATTAGGATTTTGCAGCTTGCGAGGGAAGAGCTCCTAGAAGACATTAGTTTCATTGTAATTCTGAGTTTTCGTTTTGATTCTGTATGGAAAGTAGGCTAGCTACAAGGGAATCTGAGAGACTCCCCATGGGCGTATTTTTCTTCCTGTTTGATTCAAACCTTCCAGTTCAAGTGAGACGCTATGAAGCACACAACACAGTATTAACATGGTCATCAGAGGAACAGTGGTATCTTTGAAATGTCATCCATAGCAATTCATTAGGAATTTACTGAGCGGCCCTCCTAGAGAAGACAGGATGGGGCAGAACTGGGCTGTGCTCGTGCAAGCATTTCCCATTGCTTCATTACAGAAGGTTGCATGTGGACAACTTGCTATCATAACAGGGTTTGTCAGCTCATGGGATGAGATCAATATCTACCTTTTATATTGCCAGTGTCCAGTTTTTTATCCATGACGTCAGACTATAACCTGAGACACACTGGAACACACGTGAAGTTTAACAGGGAAGACAGTGAGTCTGCAGCACTAGTATATCCACAGACAACACTTGCTCACATGCTAAGCCACCATATTCCTCCCAGTTCCATTCTCTTCCCATCCCACCTCCTTTTCATTGCTCCACTCTGGAAATGTTAAGTTATCCTGGTGTCCCAGAAAACTATTTCTCACCCTGTCACTCTCAGAAAAGCAATTAACAGGCCATCTTCCACTGTAAGGCATTAGTGTGGTGTTAGCTATGGCAGCACCTCTAACTGGGAGAAGCAGAGATATGTGAGCATAGAGATAAGGGAAGAAGAGAGCAGCATCGTTAGCAAAGGAGCTTCATGTAAATGGAGCAAGCAGCTGCTTGTGTAACTCTTGGAATAACACCTCAACCCCACTAAAAAATGCAGAGAATGCCTTTGTAAATGACCCACATGAGGAGTCCTGTGTGGCCATGCCAGAAGCATGTTCCTAGCTAGCTCTGTCCTTCCTTTCATTCATTCTCTCTAAAGACTCTGAACAGGGCATAAAACATTCTTAGTAATTTGCACCTTTGTTTACTACTCCATTGGTAAAGAGTGACTGGCAACAGATGCATGCTCTGTGTGTAAGGCTGGGTGGTTTGTTTGCATTCAAACATCATGTGACAAGCTTGGTTATGACTGTAACATCCACTTTCCTTGGTCAAAAGCATCTCATTGGCAAGATTGCCTAGTGATTATTTGAGGTAGTTTAGGCTTTAGCCCACCCCACACACATACTAAAAAAAAAGAGGAGTGGAGAGAGAGAGAGAGAGAGAGAGAGAGAGAGAGAGAGAGAGAGAGAGAGAGAGAGCGCTAGTATTCATTAAGGGACTATTTTGGCATTTAATCCAGTAATTCCAAACTTATTGTTCTGAACTACATCAAAGCAAAATGACAGAGATTATTTTGATGGACATATTATGCAACTAGGCAATTTCTATTCACCAATGTCCTAGTTTTGATAGCAAAATAAACTTTCCTTTCCTTAAGTCCTGATACTTGAGAATATGTGTTGAAGGAAAGGAAACAGGATCTTTAGCTAATGAAAGGAAGATCCCCTTCTTATAAGACAGACATAATCATATTCCTAATGCCACTGGCTTTGTGGATGCAGTCTCTTATGGCCAGTAATATTCTATAAAGGATTCCAAATAATTCCCATTTCAACCTCTCTGAATATAGATACAATATGTCAAAAAGCACGGGAGTCATGTTATGTCCCTAAGCTCCCTTGGTCAGGATTTTACAATAAGAATACTGATTATTCCATGAATTTTGTTGTGAATTTGTTCACCACAAGTGTTAGCCTTCTGAACCAGGAATTATTAAAATCAGAAATACAAACATCAGAGTTAGCAAAAATGCCTCATGTATTTTTCATATGGTAGATCCTAAAAGCTTCAGCTACACTCAAAAGTATATGGTCTCTTTCTCTCTTTATAAAAACTAAACTTACTATAGTGACTTAACTGCAGCATGTGAAGAAGATAAAAAGAAAAAAAAAAAAGGATACTGAGACTCAGATGGGAGCATCAGGAAGTAGGAATGTCTGTTACCTGCAGAGGTGTTACAAGAAATTTCATCTGTTGCAACGAAGACGAACTGATTTCTGGAAGAGAAGATAAAATTCACAATACTGCTCGCTCAGGGGGAAACGTGCTCTCTGGCAATTGGTTCCATGTGCACAGGTGAAGGGTGGGGAGGGGGCTGCATCTGCATGGGTGTGGCAAGGAAATGTGCTGATGAACCCTGGACTTGGGAAGCTTGGAAAGATCACAAAACAGGCATGCGGGACCACTTAAATGAAATCATGAGGGCTTCAGGATGTGGGCGTGTACAAGCTATTATTGTGCCAGGGTATTAATACTGCGTGTTACCAAAACATGCCAGGGTATATAGCTAAGGCCAAGCTATTTCAAGTTGTGCTTACATAGGTTTTTATGCTAAATATATACTACAACTTTTTAAAAATAAAGACTATGATTAGGAAAAAAGTATACTAGGACTAACTACCTAGAAATATCATAAAACCCCATATATTATGACACACTATTCAAAACTGTTTTTTAAAAGGAAACAAAAAATACTTTCATTGATGAAGAGAACATTATATGAAATCAGATTATGGATAATAATTTCTTTATCAAACTAAGATTGCTATAAGAAGACAAAAAACTCACCAACTGAAACAACACCTATATTTCCAAATTATTCTTGTTTGGTGGGAGGGGTGCATGTGCATGCCATGATGCACATAGGGAGGGCAGAGGACAACCTTGGTATTGGTCCTTGCCCTCCATTTTATTTGAGACAGTGTCTCCTGTTATTTCTAGCTGTGTCCACCCAGCTAGTTGGCCTGTGAGTTTCCAAGGATTCTCCTGTCTCTGCCTTCCATTGCACTGTAGGAGTGCTGTAATTACAGACATACAACACTGTGTCTGGCTCTAAGTGGGTCCTTGAGGGATTTGAACTCTGGTTCTTACAACTGAACAGCAAATGCTTTACCCACTGAGCCATCTCCTCACCTTTCTCAATTTATTTTGTAATGAGGCATATTGGAAAGAAAATTTTAAAAAATTGGAAAATGCTATTTCACTTTGATTTACTAAATCCAGAAAGATGATAAAACCCCCCTTAAGGCATTTTCAGTGGTGGCAATTCCACAATGTAAGGTTTTTGAATGCAGAGGTACTGTTGATTTCCCTAGAAATATGAATAGCTCTACTTTGCCAATTGGAATGACTCCTTGAGATTGACTATGGTCTTAAATGCCTTGAAAACCCCAGAAGGTGCTGGGTTTTCATTTGTTAGATTTTTACTGTGCGTAGGGATCAAGAACCCAGATAAATGCATTTCTGGGGGAGTCTTAGTGTGATTGCTTTTGTTCCAGTGTTCAAAAACATCCAGCAACTGAGCATTTCATAAAACATCTTAGGAGAGCTTTACTGTCGAAAGAGGTGCACCTTTGGATATAAACAGAGATGCCTCTCGAATATTCCCTGGAACTTAATGTTCAGTTGAAAATTTTAGTTGTTTCTAAACCAATAAAATTCTAACAAAATTATACACTCTCTGAGAATACTGTCTTCTATAAATCAAAAGTCAAAACTAAGTTCATTTATCACCTATCTTAAAACAATAAAAGTTAGTTTTGTTGGATCTTTGCTACATTTTTATTATGTCCCAAACTTTTTGAAACTTAGCAACTATTGGGTTTCAGATTCCCTAGGTTTGAGGAGCAATACAATTGATATATCTGAAAATGAAAGAGCTATGTGGTGTGGAATTTGATTTGACTCACATAAGGGCTAGTGAGATTTGGCATGCCTAAACTGCAGGTAGAGTATTCCCAGCATGCATCAGACAAGCACTCAGAAGGACCTCTATTCACAAGGTGCCCATTACAGGAGCTCAGTCATAACTGAACATGGCAGCCCTGTCCATTCATAGGGTGGTCCCTTAGAAGAGGCATTCCTATATTCATAATATGTGTGAGTGTTGTTTAAGCAGCTCTGCCTGACTCTTACTCCCCAGTTGTACAAGACACGACAAACGTGTATGTTGCTTCTGCATGGCTCCCTTCTAAGAAATAGTATATATAACTAATGAAGACCTTGAACTGATCATCCTGCCTCCATATTCAACATGTTACCGTTACAGACATATGCCCCACACCTAGTTTTACCTGTTGCTAGGGATTTAACCCAGTGTTTAATGTATGACAGGCAAACACTCTGCCAACTGAGCTACAACCCCAACTCCTAGTTTGCTAGATGGGGTGAGCAGGGCTGATTGTAGGCAACACACACAGATGTTAAATGGTTGCTGAATGAATACAGAAAACTGGCAAAATTAAGCCCACAGGTATTATTATAAAATAACTAGATCTTAAGGTTTCCAGAATCTTATGCAATATGATGTTACCTTTAAGAGTGATCTTTTGGACACCATGATTTTAACTCTTAAAATACTACATATTTTTCTCCTGCTCTTCTTCTCTTTCCTTCTTTCTTTCCTTCTTCCTCTCTCCCCTCTCCCTCCCTCCCTTCTTTCTTACATCCCTCTTTCTTTTTACTCTTTTCCTCCTTCCTTCTCTCCTACCATCCACTATTGCTCTGATAACCTTCTTCTCTTTTATTTTCTCCTCTCATTGGGTATTTTTTATTGTTATTGTTTGTTTGTTTGGAGGTGGGGTCTTACTATATCAAACAATCTGGTCTCAAGGTGAAAGGTTCGACAGATCTTCTCTGAGGCTTCTGAGTAACTAGGCCTGTCCATCACTATTTTTATAATTCTTGAGGGTGTTTTTGAACAAAGGAGATCACATCTGCTCTGAAACTCACTTCCTAAAAAGAATTGGCTTAGTTGGATTACATTAAGTAAGGTTAAATCTCAAAGATCTAAAGGTCATTTCCAGTAGTGGCAGAGAAGGAAATGGCACACATGGGTATAGTATCAGAAGGACTTACAACAGCCTTTCAAAAATTGATGGTCAACTTAAGCAGAATTTAGCAGTTCTGTGCTCTTCTGCTTTATCTTGAAATATCCATAACCAGTCCCATTTCATTTTAGAAAGATCCCCACAAAATGTCAGCAAAATGCCTTTCTACAGAGCTCACTAAATATGAGTCTGGGTGGCCATCAGCCTTCTAAGTGTTTGCTTTCATTGGTTGATTATGGGTAAGATCAATAGGAAAGTTGTGTCAAAGAGACTCAAAGGGGAGGTCAATGTGATGGCCAATAGAGCCATGATACTGCACTTCTCAAGGGCCTCACATTAGTGTCCATCACCCAATGCTATGCCATTTTATGGATATTTCTGTTCCTTCTACCCTGAAGGAACATTTAAGACAAATGTTCCATTTAGATGCATATAAATAGGCCTATGCTGATTTGTTCTATGAAGCCATTTATCCCAAATTAGCAGAGAGAGATAAGAATGAAAATTGTAGCTGAAAAGAGTGCTGTCTCCAAACAAGCTCAGAAAGATTAAAATGGTCCAAGCAGTGCAGGTGTGGAGTTACCTCTCATGACAAGAAAGGAGACTGGTACCATGGCCACCTCCTTATGCTAATCATCAGATGTTTACTATGCTCCATACAGACGCATGCATTTAAACGCCACCTTACACCTTATTTTTAACAAATTGGTCTGTACCTCGGTTGTAGCTGACAGTTTCTGGCTAAGTCATTCTCAACCTTGATTGAACATGGTGATTACCTGGGGAACTTCTAATATTCCTGGCAACTGAGTTACACCCAAGACCCATTGAATGAGCATCTTTGTGGATGGAGCTCAAGCATAGGCTGCTTCTACTCTCCTGGTCATTTTCAAGTGCACTAGAGTTCGGGTGATGCTTGTCTGGTTTATAGCTTGAATGATCCACAGACTCACAGAGAGAGATCAGGGGAGTGCTATCAGCTGGGTCTTCTTTCCCTGGATTCTGTGTTAGCTGATCTGGGCCAGAATCCAATGAGCACTCTGAAGGCAATCATACTAGATTAATAGCCAGCACTGAACTGGTAAATCTTTAATTCTATATGCTAAGAGCTATGCTTCTTGAGACTTCAGACTATCAAATATAGATTGAGCACTTGTCTGTGATATGAGGCTGCTAAATGTCATTCATACCTACATATTTATTTGATCTTTCTTATAATCTCTCTTATGGTTACTCTGATGAAAGGTGAGTAAACTGAGCCAGGCCATTTGAGGAAAAATGCTAAGTGGTGGAAATGGAAGATGAGCACAGTTATCTGGGACCCAGACCCCTAGCCTCACTTCCTCCAAGATCCTGCTCAGGGGAAGTCATATGGAGCATGTTCAATCACTAGTAACAGTGTGCCTCTCTAGGGAAATTTCCTATTGTATTGCTTTGGATCTTCAGCTTCTTTGAGACAAAATGATACATATTTGAACTCTTCTTTGAATATACTATGACTGAAGCTTGAGAGAGATGATTGTAAGTATATTCAACTTCCCATGTTGTAGAAATGGCATATTTCATTTATCCACAGACTCCCTTCCATTTTAAGATGGTTTCCATAGATCAACCTTCTAGAGGCCCTCTGACTCAGCTGGTGGCATATTTAAATTAGTCTTGTGGCTTACCATATATCATCTTTATTTCTCACTCCCACCACCCCCAGGTTAAATCTCATCTATTTGCAATTTTCTTCCAAAAATAATTACCCACTGAATTCTAAGTGTCAAGTGAAAAGACTGGCCTGCTAGCATTTCTCAATTGAGAAGCCAGGTGGACGTTAAAGGATCGGTTTTGGCATGAGCAAGTGAGGTCCAACTGGAACTGTCCCTTCTCAAAGAACACCAATGTTAAGTTTATTGTTAAAGGTTCTATTGTCTCCTTACTCTTTGGCTTCTCAATTCTATTTTGCTATTGTTAAAAACTCCAGATCTGTGTTCCTCATAGTGAGTCTTCATGAATCAAATGCTGTAGATTTCAAACCTAACACAACACTTGTGTATATTTAAAACCCTGCAAGATGCTGACTACAAAAATCCCTACAGCCTGTGAGTTGGTCTCTTGACCTGGAAGGTGACAACAGAGGTCCTGCAACATAGTAATTGGATGAAATCAATTTGATTCTA